AGAGCAGTTTCTGTCAGAGCTCTCTCAGCCCCACCTACCTCACAGGGTGTCTGTTGTGGGGAGGGGAAGGGAAAGGAGTTTGTAAACCACCCTGAGACTCCGAGTGAAGGGCGGGGTATAAATCCAATCTCCTCCTCCTCCTCCTCCTCCTCCTCTCACGTATTGCACACATCACTACAACAGTTATAACCATGCATGTGTTTGGCAACTAATAGTAACCTCTTGCCTCATCTTGGCTGCAGTCAGACAGGCAGTTTGGCCTGATATAGTTGCATTACCCTAATGGGTTAAATGAGCCCGTTCACTCATCCACATCTGGCAGCCGTTCCCCAGTCATACTCACCCCATCATATGATGGGTTGGATACAGAGTAAATAGTCACCAGAGACTATCAGGTGCTTCCACATCTCCACGCATTGATCCTGCATTTTCTGCTGAGATCTTGCCCAGACTATTGTATGAGCTTGTCAGCTTTACTGGACTAGCTTTAATATGATGGGTTGGATACAGAGTAAATAGTCACCAGAGACTATCAGGTGCTTCCACATCTCCACGCATTGATCCTGCATTTTCTGCTGAGATCTTGCCCAGACTATTGCGGACGCAGCCGAGAGTGAGAAAGAAGAGAGAAATCCGCCGTCTGGGTGCCGCTAGGTAACCCCCCCACACACACACACACAAATTGTGGCCTTAGTTAGGTTCGACTACAGATGTAGTCTAAATGTAAACCGCTCTGAGACCCATTAGGGGTCATGAGCGGTATAGAAATCACATGTAAATAAATAAATAAATAAATAAATTGTGTGAGGCGTTACTGTCGATGGAATGTGCCCTGCACAGCCTGTGGGAAGGAGTCCCCCATCAGCCGTGGTGGACTTTTGTGCTCCATCCCCTGTCGTGGTAAAACAAACACAATTAACCTCCTTTCTGGGTATGCTTGTTTACTAACATTTTCAGGGTTACTTCTAGCACTTGTTTAGATTTTGTTTGCCTTTCTCTGAGGCAAAATGCTGAACACATGAAACTGCCTTATACTAAACAGACCATGGGCCATCGTGGGCAGTATTGTCTGCTAAGACTGTTATATTTTTCTCCTCTGTCTTAGAAACTGTCCTTTCTCTATA